AAAAAGCTTATGAATACACATCCCAACATTACCAGGCATTCGTGAGATGCTGCTCCGAGAGAAATTTGCACCAACTTCAATCTACAGTTTCAATCACAAATGATTTGCAGTACTTTGTTCTATGATCTCTGCTTTACACCATAACTTTCCTTGAAATGTACACATTGGCTCTGATTCCAACTTAAAGTCAAGAAGGGAACTAAGTGTGTTTAATATTTATGAAATAACTTTTAAAAAAAGTTTTATGATAGAAAAAAATAGTTGGAAAAAAATCTCTGGAACTACGATACAAAACTACATTAATAATCATTCCAAGATGATTAAAATGTGGATTTTAATGTAATCTTTCATTTTTAGTTATCACATTTAAATAGCTTTTAAGATCCTTCCAGTAACATAAATTTGTTTTTAGCTCATACATCTAAGTAACATATCTGTGCACCCAAGCTTAAGGCTCTAACTATACTTCTGAATCCATAATGAATTTGTAACATAATCAAAAATAATCCAATTGCCTTTTACCACCCACTCTTACCAGTTAAAGGAAAGGCACATTTGATAAATAGTTATCTATAGACACACACATAAGCCTAGACTAAAGAGAATGTGCCTGACAAAGTCTGGACACCACTGGAGTTACCATTTGTTTAGCTGGAAGTGTCCACAATAAACTGTCTCAAACACGGGTCAGCTTTTTACCCTGGAAGGTTTGTTCTCACTGTGTTAGTTCACCTTTTACACTACAGCCAGGAAAAGAAAAGCCAGCCTTTCCCATGCAGACAGTTGCTCTTCCAGGGCTAATCTGATCATTTCTGAACTGCTTTATTGTTTTCTCTTAACACATTCTCCACTCACACTAAACATTGTGCTTCCTATTGCTGTCTCCTCTGCTGCCCATAATAAGCTGGTCCTCTATGACTACAAATACTGTTTGATGATGCTGGATTTGATTGTTTTAGAAAGCCTGCAGCCAGCCAGCCTGGATAACATAGGAAAAAAGTCCACAACACAGAAAAGTACAGCAAATGCCTGCCAGCATTTAATTTACCCCCGGGGCACTGTAGATGAAGGACTTTCAGCCCTGGGTTCCAGGGTGTGACTCTGAGGTGGGGTTGGCACAGCCTGTGAGCCTCGCAACAAAAGTAGGATTTTGACAGTGCTTGGAGTAATGGGCAGATAAAGCCAATTAGATGAAATTCTGATTGGTCAAAAGTCATAGTAAAGCATTTGTCATCTCTAATGGCTCAAGGATTTCACCCAGGGCACTACAATTCATGTAGGACCTCACATACACCTTGTTGAGGGGAATTGTGTTTTTGCTATTCATCTGGAGTAAGGAGAGAGATAAAGGGATACGCAGGAAGTTTATCTTATGGCTTTTCAAAAGACCCCCATGATACAGCTTAAGGAGTTCAGTGTTGGAAAAGGAAAAATGTTCACTGCCAAAAGCAATACAAACCAGTCAGGGGAAGTGCAGTGAAAACTACCAAATAATTTACCAAATCAAACCCTCCTGAGAAGTGTTGTGAGAAGCCAGGAGGCTGGAAGAAGTTTTCAGCTAGACGTATTTTCCATTTTTGTTCTGATATTAGGGAAGTGTGGGAGTCTGCAAACAAGGAAAATGTCCATGCCCTTGGCACACAGGAGGAAGGGAACCTCTTGTGCTCTCCTTTCACGCTTGTCCCCTTTGGCAGCACAGCTGCTGTGGCTGAACAACTGTTGTCACCCCCAGGAGGCAGAACAGGCCTCTTGGAGGGTTTGTGCGGACACCAAATTCCCAACCCCTGAACCCTGGCACGAAGCACAGTCACAGGTGGCAGCTTTCACCTGAGTAAATGGTCTGAAATTTTTCTGGAATGTTACATGAGTAGAGCACTGAGCACAGTGGGTTTGTTTGGTGGAGGCCCTTCCAAGTACGGAGGGATCCAAGTCAGCACGTTTGCAGTGGGGGAGTTGCCAAGCCCAGACTAACTGGTCTGCTGCTCTGGCCAGGGGGGTTTGGCCTCTTAACACAATATGCTTATGTCATTCAGAGGCAAATTACTGGATGAATTCTTGTGTTAAAAAGAATGAGGCCCATTTATAGTATTTTATAAACAGCTTCCAAAAATAAATATGTTTTTTGTTTTTTGCTAATAGCTTGGCTCTACCTCATCAAGTGACCAACTCTAGTTTAAAGAATATATTTTGCATATATAGTAATGCTTTAAACTATTTGCTGTTTTCTCAAAGCTGTAAGATTGGAGAACTGCATTCCTCCTATAGTAATCCAGATTCCTGTTAAAGTTTCAAATTAATTTCTGAACAGCCATTGGTACTGTGAGGAAACATTCCTTATCCTTTGTCAAAGCCAAACCTGACCAGCACTTTGGTTAGAACAATTTCAAGTTTCTAGTCATAGATCTGTAATTAAATTGCCAGTAAACACTTAGTCAAATGAACTTCTACAAGGATTTTTAAAGTAAAATAATTTACATTAGATATCGATAACTTCTTTCTCATAATTTTAGCACTTATTTTTCTTGGTTCTTGTTTTTCCTCCTTGCTTAAAAATTTCACTTAAGAAAAGAGGTCTCGCAGAAATAATTAGCCCCAAATTTCTCACAGAAGCAATTAGTTTCTCACAGAAATAATTAGCCCCCCAAAAGATCTTCAAGAATCCATAGAAAATCAGAAGGGATAAGACATCTGCAGAGGGGTTTTGCCTAAATTTTTAACTAGAATAAAGATATCTTTAAGAGCTATAATATAAAAATTCACTTACAACAGCCATCTCCTTATTCTCTAGTATGTGTCTGAGATTAATCTCGTGTCTAGAAGTTTTTGCATCAAAGTCAGTAAACAAAGATTTTACCTTGGGAGCCCAGTATTCTGTTCCTTAACCATACAAAGGTATGACTGTGGTGATAGAGAAGTCAGGCACTAAGTCTGGATAAAAATGTTTGTACAAACTCAGTAACAAATACCAGAAAGTTCTGAACCTTTAAAAATATTAAAAGTAAAATTATTTATGCTTCTTTGAAAAAGTCCACATTTTAGCAGATATATTCTAGAAGATAAGTATATAAAATACAATTTATTTAAGCTAGCTTTTTCTACCATTTGTTTATTATATTAATAATTTAATGCACTCATCTAAGAATTACCTAATTTTTTTTCCAACTGTGATCCTATGACACTTATAGAGAGGTCTAAATAACTTTATGCAAATAGAGTAGGCTTTTTTCCTCTCAGAGTAAGCAAATTACAGCAGAGAAAAGAACAGCAGTGCTGCAGGGTTCTTTTCAGGCACATACAAATGACACACTTTATATTATGATGATCCTGTATTGTCATAGTCTAGCACTTCAGAGCCATTAACATTTATTTGCGAAAATCTGGTTTGAAATATTTATTTGCAAGCTACACTTTATTTCCTAGGTGACACCTTTTCCATCATTTCTGCAAATATAGAGAGATAGATGAAGATGTTTCTGGAACCAGAGACACAGAACTAGAGTAACGCTGCAAAGTGTGAATCACCTGTCTGCCCTGTGCAGAGGAAAAGATTTTCAGATTTTATAACCGTCAAAATCACCCAAACATTTTTAGAAAGGAAGACAAATGGTCCATGAAAATCTGGTCTTTGTAACTTAGTGCTTTACTCTGCTGAAATTGTCCACTGGAATAACACTAAAGTTTCCCTTTCCTCTTTACCACCTCTCATGTCTATTAAGAAGAGGAAGGACTGTTCCTCTCCCTCCAGCCCCTCTGCATCTCAATAACCCATATCCAGCACCTCAGGTTCCTCTTGTGTTTCTTGATTTTGTCTGGGCAAAGAATAATACTCTTTTCTGCAGTTACTCATCCTGGTATACATGTACTGACTGATCAGCAAGCAGAACAAACCAAGCAAACAACTATAAAGTTTGTACTTCAGCCTTTTGTCTCCATTCAGCCATTTGTTTTCCTAACAGCTGCAGAAACATCTCATCCTTGAGATCTCAATAACACCAAAAAGGGCAAAGGAGTTAAAAGCTACTAGAGGGAGTAACAGATAGCTAGACAAAATAAAAATTACATTACCCATGTTCTCTTTTAAGAACAATAAACCTTGAGTTATTTACTGAGTGCAATAAAATCCTACAGGGCATTGTTAGCACAAAGTTTGGATCCATAAATCAAATAAGTATTGAAATTCTGCTCTGAGAGTCAAATAGTGAGATCTATTCATCAGAAGCCGGAAATGCCAGGAAAACAAGAAAAGAAGGATAATCTATGGCACATCCTCTTCCCCGTGGATCAAAGAACTTATTTCTCAGGATGATGCCTGCCTGGTTGTAGTGTCTAAATTAACTGTACAAGAAAGTCTGAAAGAAGTCAGAATATGTCAGAAGGTCAGAGGAAAAAACAAGCTCAAAACTTTACAGATGATTTATTAATTGCTAATTATTCTTATTTCCATTTTACATGATATTAAGTGTGTGCTAGAAGCTTCCAGATGGAAAATCCACACAATAGTTAATGGAGTTCAAAAAGCAGCATTAATCCTCTTTTATGGCTTGCAACACTCTTGGGAAAGAAGATGCTGCACAGCTTCAGTGATGCAAAAGTCACTGGTGGTAAGCAATCTGAGGCTAACTAGCAAAATATAAAGGGAGAAATCCTAAATGCATATTTCCCTTTGGGAAATCTCTGTGTGTAGAAATGGATTAACTTTCCCCCTATACCTGTAGCCTATATGGAGTTTGAGATCAGTGCCCCCTGAAGGTTGGTGACCATGAGCTATAACTTTAATACTCTTCACATATAGACACTGACAACTCTTTTCAGCTTTGAAGGAACTAACAGAAGAGGAATATTTTTTTCTTAATTATCACCCCAGAAAATTAAAACTAGAACCATATGCATGTCATAGTCTGACATCATATACATGACTGAATCCTGGCAGTCCATATGTCACAATCAATACTCCATCAGCTGAAGATTCTTCCTGAAATATTCTCACAGTAACTTGCAGCCATGGATTTCACGGGGTTTGACCTGTGTGAGATAATTGCAAGTGCTATGCAGGCTGCTTGCTCTGTCTTGTGGGTTTGATATCAGTGACAGCTCCTAACTGTGGCAATCTCACCAACTTTCCTCTGATTAAGACATGCAGCTTTTTTTCATCATTCACAGGACTAAAACAAGTACAGGTTTCTTCCTGTGTTGAAACAGTTCCTGCCCCCCCTTCACGTCAGAAATGGTGAGGCCTTGCAGCTGGAGCTGTGTCCACATAAAGCAAACCTGACCTTTTTCCGGTCTGACTGCACGCAAGCTGAATGCCTCTGAGCATCAGATTATCTGTGTGCTTCACGTTGCAGAAAGGTGTTGCAGAAGCCAGTGCAGCGCTGGCTGTGGTCCAGCAATGCAACATTATCATATTTGTGTTTTTCTGTTTAGATCCCTGCAGCTGGCCAGCACAGATTGCTGCTGCCACAGCTGGCTGAGGTGGTGTGCGCTGCTATCGCTGCCAGTCAGAGCAAACGAGGTTTGGCAAACTACAGCACACAATATCAGCCAGCCTGGCAGATCCAATTCAGAGTGAGGATCAGCATAGCCTTAACATAAAGAAATGCCAGATGAAAGGGTAACTTGCTCAGAGTGGATGTATTGAACACACAGGATGAGAGAAGCTGTCAAAGGGAGATGACAATGAAGAGCCTCATTTCACAAAGAAGATGTCAGAAAGCACACAGAGAGAGTGGGTTTGACTTAAAATGCTCTGGAGATTCTTCTTTTTTTTTTTTTTTTTCCAAAAGGATTCAAAATTTCAGAACTAGGTAGCGTGGAACACCTGGAGCAGCCTACGTAGCCCAGCAAACTTTCAGAGCAGAGCTGGAGCTGCAGAACAGATTTTTTTACCCCATGGGTAAAAGTACCTGCACTGAATTTTGACACTCTATCAGCTTAACTTGTTTGGTGGACCTTTGGATGATAACCATATTACATTTTTCTTTTTAAGCCACAGTTAAATAATATCAGAAAATGGGTAAGCAAAAATGAGTCTGAAAACCAATCTCATCATATATGCAATAGTAATAACTTAATGACTTACCCAGCTGTGACTCAAAAGCAGTCCAGGCAAAGTCTCATTCTCCACACCCCGAGGAGGATCCAGTGGATGATGCCATTTTTTCAGCACTCCTTCTCTCTCAATCTCTTTCTTGCCCATCAAAGATTTCTTGCCTTCATGTTTGTGATTCTGCCTTTCTGTGCCTGATAGTTGTAATGAAGATATGCCACAGTTAGTGACAAGGCAACTATTCTGGAAAAATACTGCCAAAAGAGATGAAATGGGTTTCTGGAAGTGATCACTAATATGCAAATTTATGTAATGCTCTGTAACTTACACAAAAAATCATATTTGTTTAGATGTCACCATTAATTAAAAAAATCAATGAAAACACTTTAAATGAATGGAAGAAAACAACTTACAATTAAAATGTCATTGCAGCATAAGGATCTATAAAGGTGATATGGGAAAAGACAGCATATGTTTGTCTCAGCTTCAACACCAACTCTAGCAACACCAAGTGTTACGAATTTTTAAAAGCTTGAAGTTGTGCTACTTGGCTTAGAATAACAAATTGGTTTTTAAACAAATAATTGCATTTTCTTACATACTTTATCACTTCGGGACAGTGCAAGTCTTTATGTGTTCTACAATGGAACATGACATTCCACTTCAAATTTCTGAATTTAGACCACTTACACACAAAGTGTGTATAAACTGTCACAGTATACACAGCAAATACATTAATATATATACCTCCACATGTATTATGTAATATGTAACATGTAGCACATTATGTTCTCAGTGCAGCACTAACACTGGATCAAAAGGGTAAATGCAGAGTAACACAATGGGTTTTTTTCCCCAGCTCTGTAAGCAATTCTCGTTTTGCTATCACCTTGCCTTTAAGTATTAGCAGGGAAAGAACCTTTATATGAATATAGAATCAAAAAGTTCCTTCTGAGAGATACATTTTCTATTATTATCTGTAGCCACAGTTACAAGATTCCCTGTACTAACCCATTGCACATTCTGCAGCAAACAAATGTATTTTAGCAGTGGCAGCAAGCTCTTTTCATGAGCTTTGCACCCATTATTTACTATCCTTTGTAATTATAGTACCTATTAACTCTACAGGCACAAAAAAGTCAAGAAATTTGTATCTTCTGATCTTAGGATTTAGTGCCACACAATGTGAAGGTTACAATAGCATTCTGATCCTGATACAAAACCAGGGTAAGTCAGGTATTGTCTTTCATTGTCTTTGACAGTCTTTGAATTCCATCCACTGTGTTTTAAATAAGTATGCTTGAGATGCAACAGTATAATTTGTACCAGCATAATACTATAATAATAATTTCAGAAATATAATACAATAAACCCCATCATTGTTTTCATAGTCAAGATATTCCCATCTCATAATCCAAGGAAGCTTGTAACAATCTGTTGTATCACATTAACATTATTACCTACTCTGGAGATGCTGAGATGTAATTTAAAACAGAAACAACAGAGTATTGGGGATAAGGAAATGCTGATGAAAACCTTAAGGATTTCTAGAGGTCACAAACATCCTGGCAGTTTGCCACGATTACAGTTGCTGACTAGAGAACACTTTCTAGTTTCCTTGCAGCTCCAGGTTAACACAGTTATTAAAATAAACACTCTGAAAGAATTAATAATTGGTACTAATCAGGAGTTCATTTTAAGGGAAGAACTCAAAGTTTTCTAATACCTCTAAAGCTTCAAATAAGAGTATTAAAATATTTTAAAAAGTAAAATGATTACTCAGGGTAATTTATTAATTTTTATGCAATTCACTAAAGAAATTAGCTCAGTTAGCATTGGTGGCTCAAAAATCAAATATAAAATCTGAGTGTATGAAAAACTCCTTCTATTGAAGTCGACATTGGCATTGACAAAAACTTATTGCTACAGGCAAAAACCCCACAACCTTAAGGGACTGGATGGTGAAGAAATCGAATGTGATGTTTGTCACATGTGGTTCCCCGTTTAAATACAGTCACAGTGAGTGTAACTGTGGCCAGTTTGTAAGTTTGCAGCCTAAACTATCTGTCACTAGATTTCCAAGCCTTTGAGCGCTAAATAATCTGAAAAGAAACAAGTTTCCCAGTGTCTTAATAGTGTCAGACTTGCTACAAACAGGGACGAGAGTTATTGGCAAATGTGTATTTTATGAGTACGCTCGGTCTTATGGGAGAAAACCAGAGGTCTTTTAAATAGAGACTTTATTGACTGACTGAATTGTTACTTGGGGGAACTGCTTCTGTGACAGCCTGACAGAGTACCTGGCTATCTGGAAGGTGGAGTGCCTCTGCTCTCCCTTTTCTGGCCCTGTTGTTGCAACATGCCTTGTGTTAAAGCATTCTCAGTGGTATCCAAGCTCCCTCGCTGTGGGAGGAGAGAAGGGAGAAGTGGCCAGGCAGAACGGTGATCACAGCAATATGCTCACACTGGCCACGCTCCATCTCTGACCTCCTCTTAGCACATGGCTGGGAGGGTTCATAGCTTTTAAAGAAGAGATTAGTTCTATTAGATCTATGATCTCTACAGACAGCCCCTGTAATATCCAAGTCCTGTAGTTTCATCCAGCAGTTCCTGTAATCAGCATGTGGGCTGTGGAGCCAAACTTCTGCTGTTCTTCTGTATCGAAGGTCATACTTCAGTGACAGTTGTGTTTGTTTTTAAATAAATACTTCTTTAATATTTTCTTTACTTGCTTTGGGATCATATATTAATGCAAGCCAGAAAGTGTAAAATATGCTCATAATCCTGAGAGTTCTGCTAAACCCTAACTGACACTGGGGAAAAGAAGAATAGTAATGGAAAGAGCATATACTGAAGATTTTGCTTCCATGTGAATGCAATTAGAGCTTTTCCCTTAAGCTAATAGGATAAGTAACTATATGAGGAAATCCACAGACACTGCAAATGTGCAGGAGGGAGAGAGTAGTGTTTGCTTGGTGTTCAATGGTCCATGTGTAATAAGCTGGCAGTTCCATCTAGTTCCTGCTGGACAAATGTCTACATCAGAAATTTCTGATTCTCCCTTCCCCCAGCAGCACGTTTGGAAGTTTCAGCAGCAAAGCCAAGAGCTAAAATAAGAGAGACATGGCTACATTTTCAGAGCTATTTTATTGTCTGTATTTTATTGTTTCTGTAGGTAAAGACATGCACACAAATCCATTCCTTTTGCATATATGGCTGTGCCATTCAGGATATCAGTTAATTTCCTGAATATCTGCATCAACTCACATGCCTTTTGCCAAATTATTCCAGGAAATCTGTTCTGATATTTCTAAACTTGATCTTCTCCTAATAGCATTTGCCAGCCTGATATAAACAGAGTAATACTTTGTCTCTTGAGAGTAAAATAATTTTTTAGAATTTTCAGTAGTTACTCTGATTTCTGAATAATAGAGAATAAATGATGTACAGGATGGATCACAGCTCTAATTATTTTTTCTAAGAGATGTTGAAATGATCCATTTATACTGGTAGTTCTACAGAAAATGTAGCATATCCACAGCATAACACAAACAGTGAATCTGTGGTAGTTTGGAATGGCACAATTATTGTTGGCATTAATTTGGGGTGTCTTATATCTGTATTTTGCCTACACAAATGCACTTCAAACACCATGTTGACATAACCACTGCAGCAAACCACAGTTACACGTGTCTCCCACAGCTCTGCACACAACCAGCAGGCAACTGTCACTTTTACTTTGCTCCATAATATTTTAGTTTGGTCTTGGCCAGGACACAGACCATTCTTTGTAACGTACAAGATACAAAACATAGACAAGATTGCCAGGCCCATTCCTGCCCAGCTGCAGGGCTTGGGGTGAGAAGGGCAAGGAACTCGGGTGCAATTAGCCAAAAGTTCCCTTAAATGGCTGTGCCACCCTTTTTAGGAACTGTAGTGAGCACCAGGGAGGAACAGGGGATCACTGAAGTTGTCCTTGTAACAGCAACTGCAAGTAGTGCTTTGGTAGTGCTTTAACTCTCCAGGAGCCAGGATGGCTGACAGAGCTTTGAGGCTGCTGTAAAACACACTGTGACAAAAAAAAACAAAAACAAACAAAACAGAACTAGGATGTATGTTGTGAAAACACAAAAGACTTTTCTGGTTTTCCTTTAGCTGTGGATTAAGGTTAGTGGCAAAGAGCTGTAAATCCTACAAACACAGGGATATGGATTTACAACTAAGCAAAAAAAAAAAAAAAAAGACAGCAGCATTCTTTAATTTTACTATTTTTAAAATCTTGACATATTGGCAAACCCATACAATTTAGAAAAAAAAATCTTAATGGAAAGGTTCTTTTCATATAAAAATGTTTCAAGCACTGTATATGTACTTCTTTCTCATGAGACAATGGCTGCTGACTCTCCAAAGCATTCTGCTGCAGCTAAAGATTCACAATTCTCTATTCAGTCTGTAAATAGCTTTGTGCTTGTTATATCCTTTTTT